GCTTGCTGGTTTGGGGTCCTTCTTTTGCACCAGTGTCATTACCACACGATGTCTGGGCTGCCCTCTCTGAGGATGAAAGACACCTGGAGCAGAGCCAAGTCACCCAAGTCATTCCAGCTAAAACCAGCCCGGATCAGCCAACCTTCAGCCAACTCTCAGATACATGAGTCAACTCAGCTGAGACTAGAAGAATCTCCAGCATCAGCACAGACCCTGGTCTCAGTAAATGCTGCCAAGTGAATGTTAAACCACAAGATTTGGGGCCACTTGTTACACAGCATTTTTGTGGAAAGACTACTATACAAACACCCATCACTGACTCACCCTACTTCCAGGAAGAGCCCCCATTTTCTACTGGGGAATCCACCTGTCTCCTACTCTTAATCCAGGTGGTTTGGATGACACACGCCTCCACTCTCTCACCCCTCAGCCATTCCCCACGGACTACAACCAACTCATTCCATTGCCCTCACTGTAACAATTTGTTCAGAGATGGGCACATGACAAGGCAAGTCAATCAGAACAAAGCCTGGGATCTTCAGTTATAGAGATGGGAGCACCAAAGAGATCAATGATCCCCAACCTCCCATTCTACAAGAGAGACAACTAAAGGCATGGGCTCAAGTACCGCCAGCTGGGTAGAAGCAGCACTGGATCTAGGACACAGATCTCTCGACTTTCATCTGGTTAATTTTTCTATTTCCCAGTGCTTCTTCAGACAAGACCACAGGATTCCCTTCAAATGTTATGCCCAACTTCACTCAACAACTTATTAATAAAATCCATACTGAGTGTCTACTATGTGCTGAGGGCACCATGCAAGGTGCTAGGGAAGTTTGAAATGAAGATCTTAAAAAAAAAAAAAAAAAGATCTAGGTGGCTTAGCATCAGAGGGGCATATTTTCAAAGCAGAAAAATGTTTATTGAATCTTACACAATGGCATTTTCCTGCAAGCAGAGACTCTCCTCCATGCCCTATGGGTTCCCAAAGAAGCTCATCAAAACTCCAGTGCTCACTGTGTGTTTTTTAAAAGAGGCCAACCTCAGGAGCTGGTGGGATTTGATTTTTATTAAAAAAAAAAAAAAACCCTCCATATCGTCCACCTGCTCTGCACTCTCCTGCTCACCAGCAAACCAATAACCCAAATCAGAACATTGGAAAAGGCTGAGTTTCATGAAGTAATGTTTTAAGGTTGCCTTTAGGTAGGTTCTTATCCAAAATGTGTGCACTCTGACAGAATGGCCACCCAAATTATATACTGTCTCCTGCCTTTTGCCTTCTGTAGCATCTCTTGTATGAACATTTATTACTGAGTTACATCAATGATCTTAGACAAAAGAAAGAACTAGAATTTACTGAGTACCTAGTGTGTACGAGATGTTCTTACCCATTTCATTGACGTTGTCTCATGCAAACTGTCTTAAACATAGGTGACAAGGCAAAACCATCTCCTCTGTGTGACCAGAGGAATTAAGGCCCAGAGATACTGAGTAATTTGGCTGCCACATTTCTCTGCCACAGCTTTAAGTGTCAGGGAGGGACACCAAATCCAAGACTGTCACCTTCAATGTTCCTACTTTCCAGCTGTGGCTCCAGCTCAAACCCTTGACTAAGAAAACAGTTTTATTTCAGCAAACAGCAAAAATACTCATGTTTGGAAGAATGCTGGCATGTGAAATTGGTGTTCTAGGGCAAATCATGTCTAGGGATTGGGTCTTGGAAAAGGTAGGTCCAAACATTAGTATATAGAGAATTATCCGGAAGTTTCAGTTAAAAAAATGAAAAACTAGAAAATGTTGAGACCCCACGTCCAGTGGTCCCAGTTTGTCTGCAGTATGTGGGCCCAGGATTTTCATTAGTATTGAGCATGGCCAGTGACTCTGAGTGGTCTGTGAGCCATTCTTTGGAGATTGGGTCCTGGTTCCAGGTCTGAGGTAATTGTCCTGTATGACTTTGGGCAACCTCATTTATCTCAGGGAACTAGGTTCCCTCATTCAGAAGAGCAGAAGGGTTGGATAAAGGGTATTTTCCTCACTGTCATTAGGTATATTACTTATATTCTCCTAATGTTACTCCCCCAAACACCATGGAGCATGGATTTTCACGGCTGTTGTTTTGGAAACGGTAGAAATGGGAGTTCAGGGCATGTGAGCGGCTCGTACAAGAGCACATGGTCTGCTTCTGATCTAAGCCATCGTGATCATATCAGTCCTGTACTGACAGTTTCCCCCAAGTTCACTGCTCCAACATAGCACTGGATGAAGCGACAGGTTAGGTTCAAAGATTCATTTTGCAAAATGACCAGGTTTCAAAAGACATGGATGGCTTCGCACCTCTTAGGAGAGTCCACTGGGCTCGAGGTAGTGGTGCTTTCCTGGGAGGGGTTTCCAAGAGTTATTGGGGATAACTCCAGGATTATTGCTTCCAAGGCTGGGTATGGGCAGAGCAGCAGGAGGGGCCACTAGGGGGCGGCGTGCATGGGGAAACCTCAGGTAGAGAAAAATGAACAGTGCCAACGGGGGTGTGATGTTTGCCATTTCCCACCCTGGCAGACTCGTTTCACCAACCAAGGGAGTCAGACGCAATGAGGGTGGAAACAGGAAACCCTCATCTTCAGAGACCTTGCCATTTCTCCTTGGCAGCTACCCCTTCCTTCACCAACCTCCCCAGGTGGCACCCATCCCTCTGCCTACTCCTCCGATCCTGCCCTATGTTCCCAGAACGGGTTCCTAGCAACCTTCGTGCCCCTGGATGTTAAGCTGTTAACTGGTTTTCCTGAAGAGAAAAGAGATCAGACATCCAAAGTGTGTGGGAAATGATGTTAGAGTCTGACGCTTTTTGTTAGCACGAGATTTTCCAGAGCCTTTCATTCGCTCACCTGGTAATAGTCCTAATGATACCAGTAATGGGTTTCATGTGGTTATCACTTCCCGAACGCTAGGCAGTGTGACATGTCTTATACACATTACCTCATCTTCACAACAACCTAGGCGATAGATGATACCTTTGTCCCCATTTTGTAGATCAGAAAACAGGGGCTCAGAGGGGTTGGCTGACTTTCTGAGGGTCTTGAGAAGATCCAACAAGGAGAACGTGATTGCAACCTAGGTGTGTCTGAGGCTAAGCCTGTCACAGCCTGCATGTGTCTCCCTTTCGAGAAGGTGGCAGGGTGTGGGAGGCAGGGGCGGTCCGAAAGCCCCAACCTTGTTATCATGCCTCATGGAGTCTCCAGCTCTGGAGGCTGGGTGGGGAAGACTAGAGAAAGATCAGTGACTCCAGAGGAACCTGGGCCTGGCCATCCTTGGGACCCTCCTCCTCCCCAGACAAGGCCTGATAAATACAGACACTTTTAACAGGACAGGTGAAATTAGCCCGGTTTGGGTAGAAAAACCGCTTCTAAGCCCTTGCCTTTGCCCTGTCCCGAAATATTTTCTAAATGCATCAGACAACAATAAGCTGATATAAGGACAGGGGTGCTGACTGCCTCCAAACGTTGTCACGGGAATCATAATGGCTTTGTTTTTCACAGGGGAGAGAAAAAAAAGTTTATGCCTCAAATTAGTAGGTCTGTCATGTTCCAAATTGTTTTCATTTCTAAAAATGGATGTTGACATGTGAACAGTTATTATCTAATGCAAGACCCAAAAATCTCCCTCTCTCAAGGCAACAACAGGGTAGTCAAGGGATCCTCTACAGACACGTGGGTCTACAGCTCTCTCTCTGGGTGCGGGAGTACAATGAGTCCCCTTCCTTCCCATGCTCCCCTCAGAGCTCAGGTTGCTTCTGAGGGTCTGGGACCTGGTCAGACTCCCCTCTTCAGAAACCTCAGCCCCCAGAAAGAGCCCTGGAGACCTAATCAGAGGGTGTCAGCTTCCCAGCAAGATTTCTCTAGGGCAGTGGTCTTCAGAGTGTGGTCCCCAGACCAGCAGCATCGCCATAGAAACTGTTAGCAACACAACCCCTCAGATCCCCACCCAAGGTCCCAGGAATCAGAAGCTCTGGGATGAGACCCAGGAATCTGGGTTTTAACAACCCTCCAGGGGAGGCTGATGGTACTAAGCAGCCAAGATGTTGGAACCACCGAGGGCACACTGTTCCCTCCGCCCCGCTCACAGGCACTCACTCACGACCTTCTACAGTCTCTTTCTTACTTGTCCTTCCACTCCATTTTCTCCTCTCCATCTTCCACCCACCACAGCTCAGGTCACTGACCACCTGGGTGACCGCAGGAGCCTCCCAGTGGGTGGCCCCACCTCGAGGCCACCCACCCACCTCCAACTTCCGAGAATGTAGAAATAGTCCTGCCTAGAGCCCTGTGAGACCTTCTACTTTCCCAAGTTCAAGGTCACGGCCTGCCCAGCTGGGTCATCAGAGAATTTAATGACAACATGATATCAAGGTCCAGCACTCTGGCACACGGTAGGGCGTACAGAGATTCTAGCTACCTTCTGGTCCAGGAACCGGCTGGTTAATTCACAGACAACCTGACCAGACTTCTTAGCATCCGATGCTCACTGTACTGCCTGGGGAAAGTCGAAAACAGTGACAAGGCTAATGGTTCATGAGACCCTGAGCCAATAACCCAACTCGGGTTTCTCTCTCCCTCAGAAGTTGTGGTTTTCTCCCCTGCATTCATTTACCTTGGGTTTTACTGTTCTGTTTGTGCTGCTTTCTGAGAAAAACCATTTCCTGGATGTCTTACCTGGGATGGTGTCTGATAGTGACATTTTCCTTCAGGCAGTGAATACTGAGAAATGAGGGGGTACCATATTCTTCAACAACAGCCCCGAGCACAGATACGCCACACACACACACACACACACACACACACACACAAACACCTACATGCTGGAACTTGGACGGACTTGCAGGGTCACCCAACGGGGACACCTGTGTGGCACCAAGTCACACACAAACACCAGGACTCTTTGTGCCTCCACTGATCAGTGTCAAATCTGACAACACCTGGACGAAAGAGCTAGAAAAAGCTGTACAGTACCTTTTGGTGACTTAAGTGTCGCCACTGCCCAGTCACCATCAGAACTTCCTAAAAAAATAACAATCGAGAGATGCTGATCTGCTGGCCGGCTTCCCATGTCCGCTGCGCCCTCACCCCCAGGTGCCGCTGCTGGCAGCCCCAGCTGCAGCCTCCACGGGGCCCCGGGGGACGGGCGAGAGACCAAATGTGCAAATGTGGATCTGCGCACGCGCACCTCCTCCTGCAAAGCCATGCAGCGGTATCGGGATAACGCCCAACAGAGGGTCAGAAGTCCCCTGAAAGAGGCCTAGATGTTTTCAGTTATGTTAGGTAGAGATTTCTTAGGCAGGGATCTGGCTCTGAATTTCAACCCTCTAAGAAAGAAAGGAAAATTTGAGTTGCCTGACCTCACTTTGGCCAAGGACAACACTCTGCTGACAAGAGAGACATTTTGATCCTGTTTTTGGCACACTCCCTTTCCTCAAAAGGGTTGGTGGAGGTGGGGAGAGGGTGGGGAGAGAATTATGAGCTCCAAACCCAAGGTTGGGGCAGTCTCTGCGAACTGCAACTTTATATGCTGGGTGGCAGGTCCCCAAGGGGTAGGGGCTGTCCTCATATATACTCTGTGTTTGAAAAGTACTGTTGAATGAATGAATGAATTCAAGTTTCTCCATGGAGTCACTTTTCCTAATGGAGGGAAATTCCCCTAAATGCTAAAGGGATCAAGCTTGTTATTTGAGAATCCCAGAATGCTTGGAATTTTGTTTATAAATCAGTTTCTCCAAAATTCAAAATTCTTCTTGAATTTCATTTCAAGAGCACTGAATGAGCCCTTGGGGATCACACATTATTAGCAGATCCCCCCTGGTGGTCCCTTTCCTAAAGTCAAAGATGGTAAGAAGGGTGATGACTGCACCCTACCTAGCCCTGTCTTTGATAGGCCTTCTCGGTAAGACTGGCTTTTACTCAAAGCGGGGCAAACCCACCCAGGTGTCCATGCAGCAACCTCTGCCCATTGGCTGGAGGCCTAGCCAATCAGCGAGAGCCACTAGCTCCCCTTTCCTTTTTCGGGAATCTACCTGGAAAGCCCAAGTCCTCAGCATTTCTGCACAATTTCCAGAGAGATCAGGCTGCCAGCTGAGAGGAGTCACAGGGAACATTCTGTGTGATCTAAATGATTACAGAGCACAGATCCGGCCTCATTTAAACATTTCCGGTTGGCCTCCCAGGCATGCCAGAGGACGCTCAAATTGCCACATTCCCCCTGCGGATATGAACTCAACACCCTCATCACTCACAACAGAGGGGAAATGACGGGACAGGATAGTGACAAAGTTAAAATTAAGTGAGACCCGCCTGGGATGACTGGATATTTCTTCTCCCTCTGAGCCAGGATCATGGACATCTGGAAATAGTGATGCGGCCCCAAATCTTCCTGTGCGGATGGATACAAGCCTGATGGAGTCACTGATTCACTGAGGCCAAAGAGGCCATCTTACTCCCAAGTCAAGTTCATCACTTGAAGGCAGGAACCATGCCCATGCCGTGGCCAACCCTGCCCCCACTACCCAAGACAGGGCTTAGCTGTGGCAAGGCACTAACAAGTTTTCCTTCATAAATCCACTGAAAATAAGGACACCTAATCAGATGGCACACAAGCTTCCACATATATACTTAACGTCACACTATGCCTGGTGCCACTAGTGGACATTACAGAAAAATCTGCTGGGTGAACAATTAAACAGTAAAAGGGGATGGATCTAAGGCACTGAGAGGAAAGGAACATGAGGGAACTTTCTGGGTGATGAAATACTTCTTATCCTTACTGGGATGTCAGTTATCCTAGGGCATGTATATTTCAACAATCACACTCTTGTAAAATTATGATCTGCATTATTTCATCACATGTAAGTTATAACTTATGGATGGTAAACTGATTAGACTCGGCAACCATGGGAAAACTTTCAACTTCAAGCAAAGAAAAGCAGTATTTTAGTAAGCCTTCCCTCCAAGAAATGGAGGAATGGTACTGCCAATTTTTTGCCTGGTTATAACCTGATGTCAGAAATTGTTCTCTGGAAGATAGAATCATTTAACGGAAAGAACACAGGGTTCTGAACCAGGCAATCCTGAATGTGACTCTTGGCTCTTCCATTTGCTGGATGGGTGACCCTGGGAAAACTGCTGAGCCTTAGTTTCACCATCTGCAAGAATGGGACCAAGACCTCCCTCAAAGGTAGAGTGTTTTGAGAATTCAATAATGTTAACCCTCTTCCTGCCACAACTTAAGGAAAAAGATTAAACTAGCAGAAGTCAATCCATGACGGAGGCCCTCATGAATCACTCAGGATTTTCACAAGTGAATCCCACGGCAAGATGGAAGAGGGAGCTCCTGCTATATTGGAGTGCCGTGCTGTGGTTCTAAACAGGGCCATTGGAAACTGTAACATGGTTCTGGCAAAATCGTCCGTTGTCTGTCAAATAGCATGAGCAAAAAAAATATTTTCTTTATTAAAATTTTAATGTAAAAATGAAGGCACCATAGCATTTGATTGATAATGCAAGGATGCCCTGTGTCTTTCTCTCTTTGAGTAGCTAGGCCTCACCGAAGCATCTAAGCGGGACGTGGTCAGGAGTTTAACTTTTAGATGCCTAGAGGGGAAAAAAAACTGAACTTGGGGCCAAGAGGAGGTAAGTGCCAACATGTGGGCGATCTTGGGTTTGCAGGGGCTTTTTCCAGCTCTGGAGGCGGGAGCCACCCCTCCCTGAGCCATCAGGTAAGCCTGGAGGACATTTTCCCAAACCCCCCTGTCTTGTCAACATTGACTTTTGAGGAACCACAAAATGGGTTCTCACATCATAACTACCCCTCACACGGGTGGCTCAAGCCAGGCAAGGCATGGGCTTAATTGAATTTTCAGGTTATATTTCGCCTCAATCTCTCACACACACTTCTTATTTTCAATCTGAGTGGAAGATATGTCTAAAAAGATTAAAGCCTCGTTTCTGACTTAGGAAGGAGAGTCAGTTGGATGAAACTGAGGCTTTTTGTGATAGACTGTAGAAGCCATATGGCTCTTCACAGTTCAGGCTAACGATGGGGCAGTGAAGAGGTCTGGCTGACTGCAGGTCCTTAGGACAGCTCAGAAAAGTCATTTGCTGCTTGCTCACTCGCTTGTTTGTTTTATCAGATCCTCAGTGTGATTTGGCTTCCTTGCCTGTCTTTCCCATCAAACTGGGATAAACTGTCCCTCCCCCAAAATGATGGCTGAGCAATTGGAGATTCAAGGAAAAATATGGCCAACAAACAACTCCGGTCTGAAGACTTTCATATGTGGCCGCATTTACTGAGGGTTGACTGTGTGTCAGGCTAAGCATGTTCTGTGCACACTGTATCATTAAATATTCCCAACAAAGCATTATCTGTCTACTTTTATTATCTTCATTTTACCGAGGGAGAAACTAAGACCTCAGGATATTAAGTAATCTCTGAAATTACTCTGTGTTTGAAAAGTACTGTTGAATGAATGAATGAATTCAAGTTTCTCCATGGAGTCACTTTTCCTAAAGGAGGGAAATTCCCCTAAAGGGATCAAGCTTGTTATTTGAGAATCCCAGAATGCTTGGAATTTTGTTTATAAATCAGTTTCTCCAAGTTGAATTTCAATCCAAGGGCACTGAATGAAGATTCAGTGTCTGGGTGAATGAAATTCAAATGTCCGAGTGAGGTCTTAAACTCGGAGGCTGTGCTCAATTCCACATCTTGCTGATCATCTCAGGCTCCTGACTTGCTGTGGTACCCTTCACACACTATTATTCCCTGATTTTACAAATAATGCTCTGGGAACACTCATTAAGTCCCCACACGTTAGTGGGTTCTGGGGATGCACTAATGAATGGGACAGACGTGGTTCATGCCTCGATGGGACCTACAATCAAGGGACACCAGATTAAATGTCTGAAGAATGAATGGATGAATGAATGAATGAGACACATCTGTTTGTACAGAGTCTGACGAAGTTTAGCGTCTGACATTTCTCTAGTGTGTGCTAACCTGTTACTGGCAATTGGACAGTGAACCCCTTGGGAACAAAGACCATTCTTCAGTCACATGCTGTATCCCTGAATCGTAGAGAGAAAGGAGCTTTCTTCAAACATGAATGAGTGTGATTTCAATAAGCAACTAAAATAAAATAAACCGAACCAAACCAACAGTCACCATCCTTTTCTCTCTGGGTTGGCGGTGAATGGACGGGACATATCTAATGGCCCACAGGTACTCTAATAACCAGAATGAGTGGTATTGTTTCATCTTCTATTTTCAAATTTTCTCATTTTTCATTCCTCATTTTTCACTTGAAGAAGCTGAGGTCAGAGGGTCTCAGTGACTGGCTCAAACTACCCCATGTTCTGGATATTAAAGCCGCCAAGAGAAATTTATTTTGCGGGGGTATTTTTGAACTTGGCAGCTAACCCTAAAGGCTGTCCAAGGCTCTATTTACTGGAAATTTTTGGAAAACGGGTCTGGTTATCAGAGGCTGCTGAGCTTTCAACGGCAAACAATTTTTTAAACGACTCTCCCCGGTGGTAATGATTTCACTAATGAAATGCATTTCATCATCCACACACACATCATGGTGTGAATTATGCCTTAATAAAGAACGCTTCAAAGAACATTTATTATGGGATTTGCATTTCATTTGTGCAGGCAGATGCTGGACACCTGGGTAGGCCACTGGATCAGGCAGTCCCACTGGACCTCCATTCACTAGGAGTCACAAGACCATCAGTGACTCAGATAAAGTTCGTGAACACCCGCGACAGTCAGAGAAGGACAGAGAAGAGGAGAGGCACGTCAGCCATACCCAGGATCGAGGAGGGTTTTCTAAATAAGATCCTTCAGAATTTTCTAGAAGATTAGGGGTTCCTTACAACTAAGCTCTTATTTGATCCATTATGAAGACAAGCTCATTCATTCATTCAGCAAACATTTCACAAGTTCTCCCTTTGGGGGAAGAAAGGGTTACTTAAGGAGGGTAAGATATATTTTCACACTGCAAATTTAATTCTTAGTGCCCTGCAGACATTTGCAAGGTACAGGATCCCTGTAAAAACCCTTGCTAAAAATCAAGGTGCATTATGGGACCATCCACCATTATTTACCCAAATAGTTACTGAGTTTTGATGGGGGAAAAGACACTGGGCCTAAGCTGTTTAGGGTAATGTCACCAGTTCAAAAGGAAAAAGATGTCTGGGCTGATTTTTTTTTTTTAATGCCAAAAGAAGAATCAAATAGAACAAGCAGATGTCATTTATCACCTAAAGGCAAAGCCCAGGAAGGGGGGAGGCACCCAACAGTGTATGAAGGCTTTGCAGCTACATGGGTAGAGACGCTCTGACTCTTTCTCTCCTAGGCAACAGCCCTCAGCTCTTCCTACTAATATCTGAGTCTATTTGAACATGCTTAGAATGCATACGCTGTGCAAACACGGAATATGGAACTGAGGGAATCTGTGGTCATGGGGTCAATGTACTTGAGGGCTGAGCTGGGCGTAGAAATTCAACATGAAATGTGGGAACTGGCACATAAGTCCTCATGGGGCTTGGGATTTAGAAAAGTCTGTGTTGGTCCACATGAGCTGTGCCCTTGGTATTAGAAATTTGGTTCGTCTGTCTTTGAGTGACTCCATCTAGAAGTCCTAGGAGATGGGGGAAAAATAGGAGTTCCTGAAGACCCTTGTGATTCCAGTGCTTGCCAAGTTCCCAGTATGCCCCTGGCCCTCTGCTGAGCACCAAGGTGCTTGTTTTATGCCTCTGGTGTCGGGAGACCATGGTCCCCACAAGCATCACAGACCATGACAGTAGCTTTGGTTTCTGGTGTCAGTGTGTAATGGAATTAAGATATTTGACACTGGAATCAATCAGTGACTGTCTCCCATCCCATCTCAGATGAGGGAAGAAATGAAGACAAATAGCGGATAATGAAAGCAAGCATGGGGTCTGGGAGTCTTGCGTCTGCCTGAAGTTTGGCTTTGCTAGGGCTGTGGCTTCCACCCCACAGAACTCCTACATGATCGATGCGTTCAGGAGCCTGGGCCGCCAGCAGGGTCACCGTCACATTCCCTCATGTGTGAGCTGGGGTGAGGAGCAGGGGTGTGGGAGGCTAGTGGCAGGAAGGGAGCTCCTGGAGCAATTTAAAACTCATAGGCTGCTTTATCTGGGGCAAATGAAATTAGACCCCTTGAGTCTCAGTCTGCTAATCTGAAAATTGGGATAATAACTATACCCTCCTCTTCGGATCCCTGTGAGAAGATGCGGCGGGATGTATAAAAGGTCCAGTGCAATGTCTGGCACTTTGATAAGAGCCCAGTTAGCACAAGATCCAGGCAATGCACCCCATCCTGAAGGGTGGAAGCTGCCTGAGGTGGGGGCGTGCAGCTAGCGACGTCTCAGAGATGGGGTGACTGGGGGGGGTGTGACCCACTAGAGGGCAAGGCATTTGGAGACTGAGTGTCCTGGATTCCCTGAGGATTCATGAGGGCAGACAGTGGATGACGAAGGGGCTGGGCTGTTGGTCAGACGCAAATGAGCCTCCAGGCCCTCCTCCCAGGGAAACGACCCCCACATGTGTCCCTCACTCACCCACCCTGCCCCACGTGGCACTGTAGGACTTGATCCAGTCAGAGAGGAAGCAGCCCAGGGCCTCTGCTTCCCAGCAATCTGGGCACCAGGTAGAGAGACCAAGAACACGTGTGAGCAAGACAGATAGAGAGGGGGAGAGAGAGTGAAAGAGAGAAAAGAGACAGAAACGGATGGAGAAAGTGGCAGAGACAGAGAGAGACACAGATTTTGAGAGAGAAGAAGAGAAAGAAAAGGAGAAGTAGGAAGAAAAAAAAAATGACAGGATGAGAAAAAAAGCAGTCGGAGGGAAAGGGAAAAAAAAAGCACAGAAAAGTAGAGGAGAAACAGAATAGGACTCACCAACTGCCTTCAAGGAGGCATACTTGTTGAGCTCTTTGCCCGGTGGCTGCTGCTCGTAGGGGTTGGAGATCTGGCCCAGGCTGGGGTACGAATGGGGATGGCCCATCTGCTGGAGCAAAGGCGAGGTGGGCACTGCATTGTTCATCTGGGTTGTGTCTGAAAGTGAAGAGAAAGGAGGACATGGTCACAGGTGGAGCCGGACCTTGTACCCATGCCCACCATCGTGGGGTCCCAAACTGCCCACCCTCTGGGGACACAAGAGGCAGAGTAGCAACGGGCTCCAGGATCCTCCCTAGAAAGCAGCTGAGGATGGATGGGCTAAGGGCAAATATATATATATATATATATATATATATATATATATATATATATACATACACACACACACACACACACACACACACACATATATATATAAAACTTCAATAATAGTCAAGGAAATGCAAGTCGGAGAGTGAGATTGAGAAGCCAATCCTTTGCCAAGAGATGGGCAAACATTACAAGGATGGAAGGGCCACCATACTGGCAAAGATGTGGGAAATGGGCCCGTCTCATAACCTCACGCGGGTGCCCAGTTTGCCACATTTGCAGAAAGGAAGGGGGCAGTGGGTCTGGAAATGTAAAGTGAATGTGTCCTTGGACCAAACGATACCGCTTCTGGGGACTGAGCCTACAGAAATAGTGTCAGAATACAGAGATATCTGTTCAGAGATGTTTTTTGCACCGTTGTCTATAAAGTGACAAAAAGTGACAAAAGTGCACACGCAGAGAAACAGACTCAACTCCGTAAAGATGGAAATTCTTCAATAAATTACTGTACGTCCATATTACATACACGATGTACAGTCATACGATGGGATATTCTTCAGCTGTTAGGGAAAAAAATGAGTTTAAAAGCGAATTAACTCTAGGGGTGCCTTGGTGGCTGAGTCTGTTGAACCACGGACTTTGGATTACGGCTCAGGTCGTGATCTCATGGTTGTGGGATCGAGCCCTGTGCCAGGCTCCTCGCTCAGCAGGGGGTCTGCTTCTCTCTCTCTCAAATTAATTAATTAAATAAATATTTTTTAAAAAATTAGTTAACTCCATATATGCCAACCTGGCTAGTTTTTTTTGGGGGGGCGGTCCTTTTGTTAAGGGAGAAAAAGCAAATGTGAAAGTAATGCATCTTTGTTAAAGAAGAGGAAATCTATGCATATTGCTTGCATGGTGAGATCTGCAAAAACAGAAAAAGAAATCTGCCAAGGCACACGAGCCAAGTATTGGCTACTTAGAGGGAACGGGATTCGTGGGGAGAGAGGTTCAAGATGTCTACTGGGAGACAATAGTCTCGGAGCTGAGATCCAGAAATCTAGATGTGTTTATACTTGTGGGTGGAGGTGGAGGGTGCTGGGGAGGGTGCTCAGGTCAGAGGGAAGGGCATGGCTACAAGCCCTGAAATTGGAGGGGATGCAGAGTTAGGAGTACAGGATGCCCCCTCACGTGGCTGCAGAGCAGGTGTGAGTCAAGTGGAAGGAGGAGGGGCTGGACAGGCTGGCGGGGCCCAGGAGACCTTGGGAAGTGTTTCCCCATCACCCCCATAGCAATGGGAGGGGCGGAGTGAAGGGGAGAGTGAGGCAAGGTGGAGTCCAGATGAGGCGATTATGGCCCAGTTTCAGGCAGGAAATACAGGTTCTCGCCAGTTTCATGAAGCACTCGGCCAGATCCAGAGAAACATGGCAGTGGGTGCTGGTGCTGTCTTGAGAGATCCCTGTTACTGAGCATGCGCACCCATTCCCCAGCTGCTGTGTTGGCTGTGCACAGCTCCTACCTGCCCCCCACACCCAGGCAGTTATTCTCGGGAATCACTGCCCTGGCTTTAGTGTCTTTCATGCACCTCACCCTCAACACCTGGGGTGGTCGGCCAGCAGAGCCTGGCTGACACTAGGACACGCAGCACACAGACCAGCCCTCTGCCTCAAGGTCGGGATGCTTTATGAGGTAATGGATGCTCCAGAGCTCCCAGAGATTAGAATAAACCATGTTCTTTCGTAAAGTGCCGGACTGTAAACAGTTCAGCCTTTATAGGCCACACAGTCTTGTTACAAACACTCAACTCTGCCCTTGTAGCAAGAAAGCGCAGACATGATGTCAATGAGCGGGTGTGGCTGTGTACCAATAAAACTTTATTTATAAAAACAGGTGGCTGCTAGTTTTGGTCCAAGGGCCATAAATTGACCGCCCCCGGTCCAGATTTTATCTGAGATGGAGACCCCATCCTTGAGCGGCTCCTTTATCTTTCCTGTTTTGTTTCCATTACAACTTGAGAGGGGCGTGTGTGTGCGTCTACGTCTGTGTGTCTGTGTGTGTCTGTTGCACTCCCTCAGTCTCACACACCTGCCCCCCTCCCTCAAGTGCTGCTTCTACACAACCCAACCCATGACAGATACGGAGTATGTCTGGCTTTAGAAACCAGTACACCCATATGGAGAGAGGCAGGGAGACTACAGCTGAGACACAGAGATAAGAAGAGCACTTCTATTACTGCACATGCACACAAGACCACTGCACAGTGGTTGGGTTACCAAACATATGCCACATAACCCAGCCTCTGGCCAACATGGGAGGAAGGGGGTGTATCCTTCTGCGATGATAGCTTCTTGGCGGAGAATCAGCAGGGGGCCAGGAAGGCCCAAGCTTAATGAAATCATGGAAGAGGTGTTGCATAAGGTAGAACTTTTGCTGAAGCGTGGACCCCAAGATCCTCTGACATGTTCCTCTCCAGAACAATCTGCTGGGGAGGTCTGTCTGCTCTCTCTGGGCATGTCAGGCCAGACATGTTTTATGCCCAAATGCTGGTCCAGCAGGAACAGTTACCCTAAGTTCTCACTGTGTGCTGGTTCTGTGGTTTTGTTTTGTTTTTTTGTTTTGTTTTGTTTTTCACAATCTCTTTTTCTCTGGACAGATACTAGCTGTGTGTGTTCAGAGCTAGTAAGTCCTCTGGCACAGTGCGCCAGGTGCATCTGAGTCATGTGATGAGCCGCCCATCATGGTGACTATCTTAGTCTAGGTTTTCCCAGAAGTCACTGAGATAAGGACTCAAACAGGAGCAAATCTGGGAGGGAGGCTCAGGGGATACTGTAGAAAAGGGGTAGGAGAGGAAGACAGGGAAATGAAAGCAGACACAACTTCAGTGAACTAGAGACTAATCCTATTTTGGAATTCCGGTAAATGGTGTTGAATGCCTGTCTCAGAATTCTGTCACCCCATGGGGAAGTGAGTCCCTTACTATTTATTTCTACACCAATTCCCATCAGTCATCAGATGACAGCTGCTTCCAGAGGACAGTAAGGCCTTAGCACTTGCAACCCTCCATGTTCCGGGGGGCAGATTGTGCTCTGGCACCACAGAAATTCTTATTCAGACGTGTAAGAGCTGGTATTTGGAAATCAGGCCAGTAACTAATGCCTCTGGCCACTGAAGCGAGCATGGGATCCAAATTGGACAAATCATGATGCCTCCTTCTCAGACGAGAAGCAGGCACATGATCTAGGTGGGACCAATCAGAATGCTTCCTTGAGTTTTTCTATCTGGAACCTTTGGAGTAGAGGAGCCAGGAGGTCATGGATTCAAGTGAGTTTGAACCTGCCATGTGGAGAAGCTCTTTACTGTGAAGGAATAAGGACAACAGGAGGAAAGCAAAGAAGATAGGAAAACCCCTTTCTAATAATCTAGTATGCTTCAAGGTTACTGTCCTTTGCAATGTAGAGTTTGGACTAGTAAAATTGTTGTGTGGATTCCCTCAGGGAAATGAAGCTGACCAGAGGGGAGGCTGCCTATGTGGCTATAAAAAAAAAGGCCTGGGGATTATGTCAAGATGTAAAAGGCATTGCTCCTGGGTATTCTACAGAGATTTAGAAGAAATTTCAATTGGCCTCAGTAGTACATTGGGAATGCCCCAAGACATTCATAAGCTAATTTACTAATGTCTTTATGGCAAGTCCTGTTTTTTCACCCCTGGAAGTAAATCCCAAACATGAGCCTTGTCTAGTTAATGAGCTGACTTCTGTCGAGCCCACCCTTTCTCCCAAATCCTTGCTCCCTTAATCCTAGATCCCACCCACGAGGCTCAAATTTCGTTTCCAGGCCTGCCAGGGGAAATGTTAAACACTTCATTAAAGAAAATAAAAAAATCTGTACCGATGTTCCTCATCTCTTGGGACAGTCCTTTATATTATTCAACAGAATATTTAATACGCTATTATAAAGTATTTGCTTCTGGATGATTTCTCCCAAGTCCTGAGCTACCTCAAGGGCAGTGAGTGAGTAGTTAGTTAATATAAGTAGGCCTGACCAAGATGGCCTACCAAAGGAATCCCTCACAAAAGAAGAGATGGGGCTGCCCCGAAGTCACATTCCTGCTATCACAAGCAGCGCCACAGGAAGCAAATTTCCGGCCGTTTTAGAGAGCCATTTTGTGCTCGCTTCCAGACATCGAATATTCACAAATATTGAAATCCAGTCTCAGGGCAGCAATCAAGAATTATTAAATAGACATTTGTGACTGGGTTTTTTAAATGTTATTTTCATTTTACTGAACGAGAAGATGGAGTAGACCTGGCAACCCAGATTCTCTACGAGTTTTGTTCAAATATATCCAGCCGAGGAGGAGAGACCAAAGTCTAGATGGGAAGCCAGCCCAGCTTGGTATCTAAGCAAAATGGAACAATAGGGTGAGGGAAGAGCAAAGAGTGGGTACGATCTGTCCTTGCCAATAGAGGTGAGAAGAAAAATAAGAGAGATGGAGAGTATGTAGGTATAAGTGTATTTGCATATATATTTTTATGTGCATATGTATATATACACATATGTATATATTAACTACCTATTTATCTCTCTATGTATATCATTTAATTTACATAGTCATGGCCATAGAAAGCATCCAGTTGGACCAACACTGTCTTGCCAACACTGTCCTGCTCTTCTCTTGTAGACACACTTTGGTCCCAGAGATATCATACCCACCTTCACCTCTGCAGAAAGGTACTTCCTACCCAATGCCACAAGAAAAAACTTTCCCTGCCTCATTATAATTTTGCAACTCATTCTGACTCTTAGAAATAACTAACAAGGACTTGCTGTTCTGGGATGCTGTTTTCCAACAAGAGCCTCGGTCA